AACTCCTGAGCTCAAACAATCCGCCCGCCTCGGCCTCCCAGAGGGCTAGGTATGATATATATTTTCTGTATCCACTCATCAGTTGATGGGCACTTAGGTTGATTCCATATGTTTCCATTTGTGAATTGTGATGCAATAAATTTTCAAGTGCAGGTGTCTTTTTTATAAAATGACTTGTTTTCCTTTGGGTAGATTCCCAGTACTGGGGATTGCTGGATTGAATGATTGGTCTACTTTTAGTTCTTTGAGAAATCTCCATACTGTTTTCCATAGAGGCTGTACTAGTTTATATTCCCACCAACAGTGTATAAGCACTCTCTTTTCACTGCATCCACACCAACATCTATTGTTTTTTGACTTTTTAATAATGGCCATTCTGACAGGGATAAGGTGGTATCTCGTTGTGGTTTTGATTTGCATTTCCTTGATGATTAGTGATGTTGAGCCTATTTTCATATGTTTCTTGGCTATTTGGCTTTCTTCCTGCAAGTGATTGAAATCCCACTGAGGCTGCTTAGTTTGTCCTGGCATGATCCTGACTTTTCTCTCTGCCCCTTATTCTTTAACTTTCACCAAGGTCACCTTCCTGGCTCAGAAGCCAGCTTCGCTCTTGGAAGGAAGTGTCCAAGGAGCCCCTCCACCCAGAATGCAGCACCTCCACCCTGGCCAGCCCGATGTCTAATGCTCGCTCTTTATCCCATACAGCTGATCCCTACATAACCAATATGAACCTGCTCTTTGATCAGATCTTGTCCTGAGTGTCTCTTCTCTCTCTTGCCTTCTTCTAACAGGTGATGCCTTAGCTGCTTCTCTTGTATTCTTAAGTCTTCATGAGCTCTTGGACAAACTTTAAACATTTCCTCTTCCCATAGTTCAGCCTTTCTCATATTTCCTTCCCCAGCACACCTGAGGGGCATGCAAACACCCCCAAGCCAGTGGTTGACTGTGACATTGATTCTCATAGGTGCACAATGGGGAGGGACATGGAGAGAGAAGCAAGTGCAGTTTAGAAAGCTTCCTGGTATGTCTGTTCACACACGAGTATGTACATAGGTAGGGGAGGTTCTTTCTCTGTTCTTTCTTCATCATTTTGAAACCTTCTTGTTGGCTTTTCTATACATTTGCTCCAGAGTCTGTCACCGTAATTTTGTTAAAACGGCCTCACATTTGCAAGTAAATGAAGAAGCAGGAGGAAAGTACACTGTAGTAGGACCTTATCATAACATTTCAGACTCTGCCCTGACATTTCCACCATTGCTCTGTTAACAGTTTTTTGTTGAAATTGCATATACAGGCATGCTTTGTTTATTGTGCCTCTCTTATACTGGTTTTCTTTCTTTTTTTTTTTTAAATTGAATGTTTGTGGCAACCCTGCATCCAGCAAGTTTCTCAGCTCCATTTTTCCAACAGCATGTGCTCACTTTGTATCTCTGTCACATTTTGCAATATTTCAAATTTTTCATTCTTATTATATCTGTTATGGTGATCTGTGACCAGTGATCTTTGATGTTACTGTTGTAATTGTTTTGGGGTACCACAAACCATGCCCATATAAGACGGTGAACGTAATTGATAAGTGTTGAGTGTTCCGACTGCTTCACTGACAGGCTGTTCCCCCTATCTCTCCCTCTCCTTGAGCCTCCTAATTCCCTGAGACACAGCAATATTGAAATTATGCCAGTTAATAACCTTACAGTGGCCTTTAAGCATTGAAGTGAAAGGAAGAGTCACATGTCTAAATCAAAAGCTAGACATGATTAAGCTTAGTGAGGAAGGCACGTTGATAGCCAAGATAGGCTGAAAGCTAAGCCTCTTGTGCTAAACAGCGAAGTTGTGAAAGCAGAGGAAAAGTTATTGAAGGAAATTAAAAGTGCTACCTCAGTGAACACATGAATGATAAGAAAGTGAAACAGCCTTATTACTGATATGGAAAAAGTTTTAGTGGTCTGCAGAGATCAAAGCAGCCACAACATTCCCTTAAACCAAAGCCTCATCCAGAGCAAGGCCCTGACTCTATTTAATTCTGTGAAGGCTGTGAGTGGTGAGGAAGCTGCAGAAGAAAATTTGAGGATAGCAGAGGTTGGTTCATAAGATTTAAAGAAAGAAGCCATCTCCATAACATAAAAGTACAAGGTAAAGCAGCAAGTGCTGATGCAGAAGGGCGGCAAGTTATCCAGAAGATCTAGCTAAGATCATTGATGAAGGGGGCTAAACAACAGGTTTTCAATGTAGACAAAACAACCTTCTATTGGAAGAAGATGTCATCTAAGACTTTTCATAGCTAAAGAGGAGAAGTCATTGCCTGGTTTCAAAGCTTCAAAGGACAGGCTGACTTTCTTGTTAAGGACTAATGCAGCTGGTGACTTTAAGTTGAAACCAATGCTCATTGACCATTGTGAAAATCCCAGGGCCCCTAAAAATTATGCTAAATATACTCTGTGCTCTATAAATGGAACAACAAAGCCTGGATGACAGCTGTTTACAGCATGGTTTACTGAATATTTTATACTCACTATGGAGATCTACTGCTCGGAAAAGAAAGATTCCTTTCAAAATATTGCTGCTCATTGGCAATGTACCTGGTCACCCAAGCACTCTGATGTACAAGGAGATTAATGTTGTTTTCATGCCTGCTAACATAACATCCATTCCTCAGCCCATGGATTGAGGAGTAATTTTGACTTTCAAGTCTCACTGTCTAAGAAATACATTTCATAAGGCTATATAGCTGTCATCAATAGTGATTCTTCTAATGGATCTGGACAAAGTAAATTGAAAACCTTCTAGAATGCATTCACCATTATAGAAGCCATTAAGAACATTTGTGATTCATGGGAAGAGGTCAAAATATCAATATTGAGAGGAGATTGGAAGAATTTGATTCCAACTCTCAGGGACAAGTTGGAGGGGCTCAAGACTTCAATGGAGGAAGTAACTGCAGATGTGGTGGAAATAGCAGAAGAACTAAAGTTAGAACTGGAGCCCGAAGATGTGACTGGATTGCTGCAATCTCATGATAAAACTTGAACAGATGTGGAATTGCTTCTTATGGATGAACAAAGAAAGTGGTTTCTTGAGATGGAATCTACTTCTGCTGAAGATGCTGTGAACATTGTTCACATTGTCCTTTGAAATGACAATGAAGGACTTAGAATATTGCATAAATATTACTTTAGTTGATAAAGCAGTAGCAGGGTTTGAGAGCATTGTCTCCTATTTTGAAAGTTCTGCTGTGGGTAAAATGCTCTCAAACAGCATTACATGCTATAGAGAAATCCTTCATGAAAGGAAGAGTTGATCAATGCAGCAAATTCATTGTTGTCTTGTTTTAAGAACTTGCCACAGCCAGCCCAGCCTTCAACCACCCTGATCAGTCAGCAGCCATCAGCATTGAGGCAAAACCCTCTACCAGCAAAAAAGATTATGACTTGCTAAAGGCTCACATGATCATTAGTATTTTTTAGCAATAAAATATTTTAAAATCAATGTATGTACATTTTTTGGGACAATGCTATCGGAAACTTAATAAACTACAGTACAGTGTAAACATAAATTTTATATGTACTGGAAAACAAA